GACGAAGGTCATGAGACGAAGCCCTCCGGTCGATATTGCGTTATGGCCGGCGAACCATGGCTTGAGCAGCGGATACCGGACAAATTACCTCTCGCCTGTCGCCAGATGCACGCTGAAACGGCTCTACTACCCTATGTACTTGGTACCTTTCAATTCGGGGCCGAAACGTCGGGATTCGAAGGGCTCTGGATTTTGAAGAGGTTCCTGGGAAGGCGAACGACGAAGCAGATCGACGCGATGGCTAACCTAGAGCTCTCTCAGTGGTCGGAAGTGTTGACTTACTATTGGTACCAACAAAACACTGCTGCATACTGGGTCGCCAAGTTGGAAGTTCTCTCAGCCTCTGCTGCCAAGATGACCCCAATGGAATGCTCGAGCTTCGATATCTCTTCTCTCGGACCATCTGATGGTTGAGCGACGCTTTCATAGACCGAAAAGTTCCTTTCTTCATAAGCGTTCCTGTATCTATCCGCTGAGCCGACTGTACCCTCTCCGGTCACTGCAACGACTCGAAGTCTATCCTCTTGTTCAGGTCATGATGAACTCATGCGAGTCAAGAAGATTAATGAGCTTGATAGTATTTGAGCCACTGCATCTTCAGAGAAGCTGGTGATCGAGAAAGATACACGATGACTCTTCGGTAGAATATCCCTCCACAACCATTCCGAGTGTCGTACTTTTCATCTGAGGATCAGGATTTAGACAGTCAGAGAAGCATGGAGCCTCAAAAGCAGATCGTGATTGAAGGTCTGCGCCAAGTTCGCGACCCAGAACGCCCCAGTCTCCTCAATCACCTCGTGAGATGGAGATGCGTCACCCCGATATCCATCGAATGTCAAACTTGAGATTGCGCCAATTTGCTGTTTTGTCCTCCGATTCATGAACAGGTCAAGTGCGTGCAGATGATAGCACAGGGAATCGTCCTCGTCCTCGCCCCGGATATCAAACGACCCAAGACTGTATGGAAGCAAAGCGGTTTCTGCGTGAACTTGGCGACAAACACGAAGTAGGTTAAGATCGCGAAGTGTGTGGGCACTGGACTCGTTATTGATCTGCATACCGACAACGTCGCCATATGGCCAATAGTCGTCGGCAAGACCGTACTCGACACCACGGAAGACCCAGCCGAAGATCATGTTCCTGATCTCACCTGGGAGGCGGAGTAGAGGAGAGTTGATAGCGTTTGACTTGTGACTATACAACACTGTTAGCAAGATATCCATCAACGAAAGGTTGTAAATCTTACATATCGTCGCGCTCAGTCTCAGAACGATGCCGAGCACGGATCCGAGTCATAGCCTCTCGAATGATACGGTTGTCATTAGCATCCCCATCTAGCTTCTGCTTTTTTGCCAAGGCGACGGCTGAAGGCGACAGAGCGCGCTTTCTGCCGCGGTCCATGATCTGCGCTTGTAGAATTTGGAGAATGGAAGTTTCAATTGATGGTGAGAGGTAAAGAGAGAAGAGATGAGGGAGAGATATCGCTGTTTAAATATTAGTGAGGGGACGTGCATGCTGGATACTCAAGGTAAAGGTTGATCTCGATGTATGTTGGCCGTTTTAAAAACGTGGTCACCTCACCTTCGAGATCCGACAGCCGGCTGTGGATAGACGATGTGCACTCAGTTGTACTGAAAGTGGGTGAACGATGAGCATGCTACCTGTTCCACTTTGCGCACTCATACAGCGGTAAGAACTAGACAGCCGTATGACGGCACAATATGCAAGCTGCCCCGGTGTTCCAATTTGAATTTCGCACTCACCTCGCATGGTAACCCAGCAACGGGTCAACGACAATAGCGCGCCTGCCTCATTCCAGCCTTGGCAGAGGCTCTTGCTCTCTCACTCCCGCACTGCTCTCGCACTCCCGTTCCACCGCCACACTCCTCGACTCCTTCGACTGCACTCTCTCGACGCTCACTCACAAGATCGCCATCAATGTCTTCAGCACTCAAGGCAAATCAAATCGCAGCCGGTCAAAAGTGGAAAGCACACAAGCGTGACAAAATGTGAGTCTTCCCACTTCGCAGTGGGAGTTTCATGACTGACGATATCCTGTAGCACCGAGCTCAACGCGATCCAGTCTCCGCTCCTCCGTCTACCCGCCGAGATCAGGGAGATGATCTACACACATGTCTTCCGCAATGAGATCTTCGAGCTTGATCAGAATCTCAAGCCTGATGTCGAGGCGTGGATCCTCAACGGGGCTGTTACACTCACACCTCACGATACCGATTCGCATCCTCAGAGATACCCAGGCATGGAGCTGCTTCTTGCTTCTCGCCAAATCCATCAAGAAGCCGCTCTACATCCTTACAAGCTCGCAACATTCGACTTCGGTGTCTCATTCAACTCCGGCCGCCTTGTTGGAATCGGTCCTAAGCATATAGCTATGAAGTTCTTTCTGAAGGAGAGATCAATGGCGCAAGCTGAGGTTCTTGCCAGGATGCAGGTCTGTGTGAGTGGAGAACAATGGTCTCCTCAAAAAGCTCTAGAGAGCAGGGCGACGGCGAGCAGGAGGAAGGGGAGCATGAGGAAGGGAGACGGGGCATACTGGGCTGCAGAGTTGGGCTGCCAGGACTTCTTCTCTTAGCTGTCCGAGAAATATCTTATAAGGCCACGAGATCATGAATCACAACGACGGCGATGATGAAGCCTCTACTAGTAGCTGTACTGTCTCCTAAAAAGATGTCTTACACTGAGCAAGGCTTCCGCAATACACTCTCGACACTCTCCTTGCTCTTCGTGCACATCACAGCAGTCGGGGTGCGACAGAGTACTGCTGGCTGTAATCGTGAGCCGTGCGGCAATAAGACGTTCGGGCATCAGAACGGTCGTTTGCAATGACGTATTCTCAAAATGGCGACTGTTATGAGGTTCGGACTTACCTTAGTCACCCAACAACCACAACAACAACACGACTTCCTCTTTACATCACCGTACTTCACCCGCAAGCTTTGCCATTACCACTGCACCCAGTTTCGTTTATTTCGCGCCCACAGCGCCACCTCACCCCCGGCGCATTCAGTTCTCGTGGGCAACGAGATGGCAGACGCAAGTCTCCAGAAAGCCGCATCGGAGACGCAGCTTATACAAGATGCTGTTCGCCGCGACTCGATGTAAGCATACTCTCACTCACGCCCAATGGCTCTTTGACTGACTATTGATGCTAGAACAGAACTCAACGCCACCCAGTCGCCGCTTCTTCGCCTTCCCGCTGAAATCCGGAACGCGATCTACACCTACGTGTTCAGTGATCAGGTCTACGAATACAAAGCCTCGGGCAGTGACGCGGTCTCGATTACCCGTCGCGCTGAGTATTCGTGTCTTGGTCTGCTTCTCGCTTCTCGACAAGTCCACCACGAAACCGCCTTGCTTCCCTACAAGCTCGCAACCTTCGTCTTGGATGACGGGTGTGCATTTTTGCCCGAAGAGTCACCAACATTCTTGTCGAAGAGATCGGAAGCGCAACTTGCAGCACTCGGTCGAATTGAGGTTATTTATGGCATGATGAGACATCATGGGATTGGAGCCGATTTCTTGAGGGAACTGCATTATTTCTACTCGTGAAATTGCATGGATCATTGGTTCGACGTTTGAGTCTGCAAATAGTAGCCTTGTGTTTGTATTGGTTGGTACACTTGTATTGGCGAATGTCACCCACACCGAAATGGCCCAGTAACTTCAAAGACTTTTGCATTCTAGAGTAAGCCTTTAGTGTTTGTAACAGAAGAATGAACTCATTTGTCTACTAGGGATGGAGTGACTTCTTCTTGGTGCGACTCATAGTTTAACGCAAGAACTGCCTTGACTGTGAAACCCGGCGTTACATTTGGTGGACAGATTCTCACTCGCTATACGTGTCTCACCGAAACAGTCTGAATCGTAGGTAGAGATGTTCGTTTTCTATGACGCACGGCTGCCCAGCGCAACGACAACGCGACTTCCTTATTGTAGCCTTGGCACATTCCCCGAGACTCCCGTACTTATCTCGCGCTCTCAGCCATCCCCGCACCACTCAATCTTGTCTGCCTCACATTCAAGACGCCACCTCACCAGCAATGTTTCGGACCTCTTTCGGGATACAGATGCTTCACCGGGCTCGCCGTAGGGCTCGTGTCAAGGCTGCGGCTCGAAAGCGGCTTCTTCGAGAACGCGCCCGGCTTGACAACATGTAATCATTCATTTTCAAGCGTCGCCAGTTTTATGTAGGGCTAAGATTTTGATTCCAGTACCACGCTCAATGCCGCACACTCACCTCTTCTCCGCCTTCCTGCCGAGATTCGAAACCTGGTGTATCACTACGTATTCTGCAATGAGATATTCAGGCTGAACGAGCACAAATGGTCCTGTACAAAGACCACCACGCTGGTTTCCGACAATGGCGTCAGTCTAGACCTACCTCGTGTCTCTCGTCAGCTCTATCAAGAAACAGCATCACTTCCGTACAAACTGGCAGTCTTCGACTTCGGAACTCGCATCGAAGCGTATTCCACTATGAGGAAGTTCCTGAAGAACCGATCGGAAGCGCATATTCTGGCGATGAGGACATTTGGGTTCTCGGGGCGAAGTAGGATGCGACGCAACCTGCAAAGAAAATATACGAACAGGGAATTTTGGCCGGCAGTTTACTGGGCCAAATGGTTGAGGATTAAGTCTGGCCCACGAGCCTAGGTCGGTTACTCGTTTGCGCTCCCTGGATTCACAGTCGAGAGTGCAAGTCTACCAGCCATGCCGTGTATACTTTGCAGGACAGATCGATGCGGAGGGAAGAAAGTGTTGTACAATAGCGCGCTCGCAACAAAATATATCGGACAGAATCTCGCACTCAGTTCTATATACCTAACAATCAAAGCTCATCCACATTCCGTCTTAGCAAAGTGTCCCACACCCGTGCGCTGCCCCCACACTAGTCCACTTCTGCCGCGTTCGTTCACCATCCACATACTCGTCCACTTCCTTCCCATACTCCTATACTCGCTCAACCCGCATCACCCCTAATGGCTGGTTCTATAGCTCTCACCCCCTCTCGAAAGCGCGCTGCGCTGGCTACCACCGACGCGCCAGATGCTAAGAAGACGCCCACCTTCGACATCGGTGGCAAGGACGTTGTTGAAGACCATGACGTCAACGATCGCATGTAAGTCTACAGCTGTGAATTTTCTTTGGGATATATCGCTAATGCCGCATCGCAGTACCGCGCGCAATGCCACCAAGTCTCCGCTCCTTCGTCTGCCCGCCGAGCTCCGCAATCTGGTCTACACCTACGCTTTCGACAACACAACCTACACCTTCTTCAAGAGCAATAGAGACACAGAGATAACGCCGTGCAATGAATCATTTACTGAAGATAGCATGAGCCTGCTTCTGGTATCACGTCAAATTCACGCCGAGACCGCCTATCTTCCTTATAAGCTCATTACATTTGATTTTCTGGTCAACAACGACAACAAGAGTCAATGGAAGCCCTACGTAAGGAAGTTCCTGGCTAAGCGTTCCGAAGAACAGATCAAAGCTATGTCTTGTCTGACGCTACGCCGCTGGACCTATGAAGAACAAGGGTTCGCGACGGGGACTGGATTATACTGGGTCAAGAGGCTGAAGATCAAGAAATATAGATCTATCGTTCGTCATGCACGACGTAATCGCTAGTAATTACTGTTCTTGACAAGCGAAGGTTAGAGCAGCCAGAAGGTCCTCGTAGGAGTCGCTTCTCACGAATCAATTTGATGTGCATCAACACCGCTGTTCAGCATCAAACGCATTTCACCTTTGAGCTGTCACAGAACGCACTATAAGCTATTAAAAGTAGTGAATCTCGTAAAAGATTAAATGCGTAGCAAGCATTGTTGAAGCTGGAAAGCCGTGACACATACGGTTCCTCGGGCATATATACTATCAATTTGGCAGACGGTCTTACACATCACAGTAACAAGTGGTGAGAAGACCCGCTCTACGATAGAAGGCACATCTTTGCTTCTGCTCGCGTCTCTCAGAATGGCACATTGCTGGTAGAAAGGTATGCTCTTGACATGACGCGTTCTCAACTGATCTGACTCGAAGTTCCGCGTCACCATGGTTACCTAACCAGGTAGCAAACATGGCGCACCTGTTTGCATGCCATCTAGCGAACTCTCGCACGCTCTCTCACCTCGCACCTCCATTCTTGTACCCCCTCCCTACCTTAACCGCACGCGTTTCAACATTGTCGTCACTCCAAGCGCACACCAACCCGACCTCTCGCGACTGCTTCGCAATGTCTTCAGCCGAAGTGCCTTTTTCGAAGGGGAAGCGCGACGATAAGGCTTGCGAGGAAGCTGCGGCGGTTCTGCACCATGCCCAGTGCAAACACGACCCCGGGGAGCAGGCTCAGCGTGAGCAAGCGCTCCTTAATGAGAAGCGCCGCAAGAGAGTCATGGTCCAGAAAGCCGCTAAAACTCGTCGCAACAACATGCAAGTGTCCAGCTTCACAAAGCATGTTCTACAGCTAACACGAGTCCAGGCCCGAATTCGTCCCGTTCCCTTTTCTCCGTCTGCCACCTGAGCTTCGGAATACCATCTACGGTTATGTCTTCGAGGGCAAGCAGTACAGATTTTGTCGTGGCATTTACAGTGTGGAGAAGCCGGATAGAGGGATCCTTTGGCGCCCAGAACAAAGCAACGGTCTTGGTCTACTTCTCGCCTCTCGTCAGCTTCATGCAGAGACTGCGTTGCTTCCGTACAAGCTCGGCATCTTCCAGTGCGATCTCGTGGATCCCAAGGACAATGAGAAAGCCTGCCACAGCCAGGCAGTGCGAGACTTCTTGCAAGCCAGGTCCCGGAAGCAGATAAGTGCCATTGCTAGACTGAGTGTTCGAACGGTGAAGTGGTGCGCCGAAGTCCTTTGGGAGAGGACTCAAACTGGGGTTGATTGGGCAACGGAGTTGGGTGGACGGTAATTGGAAGAGTCCTTGTTGAAGAACAGGCTACTTGGTCTTATGTGAACGACATGAATCGGATCTCTACCTGTGCTGTGTTGCCAGGACGAGAGAGCAACCGTCTGTTGAGATCGAGTCACGGATATTACAGCTATAGGAAGCTTCTTCGAAGTAGTTATATGACGGCAGATTAGTCGATCAATACACGCCACATGCACTCCGTCCGCTTGAATCAAGCTCTTGTATTGACGATACTTCTCTTTTGGAGAGGACCTGATTGGATGGGCGCATATGGAATTCGGAAGTTGTGAGTGGCCCATCCCGCTCTGCATCGGTACAGTACCATGGGTTGGGGTGGATAGGAACCAAGTATAGAGCCATCACGCATTCTATTGCGTCTTGTGAAGTTTCTTTCATCTCTCCGTTCAACGACGCCATTTTTAACATTATTGACACTTAAACAGCATACCTACCGTCATGGCGCCTCGGAAGCGCGTACAAAAGCCTCGTGCCGACGCACCATCTAACGAAAAGAAGACGCGCGATATCCGAGCTCAACGCAGGGAAGCAGTGCGCGAGCAGATCCTTCGCGAAAAGGTTCTCCCAAATGAAGTTCCTCGCGAGGACGTTCCTCAAGGCCAAGCTCGCCGCGATAGGATGTAGCTGCCAGTTTCCTATGTAATCAAAATAGTCAACTAACAAGACATCGTAGCACTCAACTCAACGCTCTCAACTCACCCCTCCTTCGCCTGCCGGCCGAAATCAGGAACGTCATCTTCGTTTACGTCTTCACCGGCATGGAGTATACATTTGACGAATACTGTTGGGAGGATCCCAAGACTCAGTGCCTGGACTCGTTCGACCAATGTAATCTGGGTCTCATCGCTGCCTCACGCCAACTGCATGCCGAGACAGGCCCTCTCCCGTATAAGCTCGGCTTCTTCAGTTTCGAGTTCAGGGTTTCCAAGGGCAAATGGTCATACTGTGTGGAGAGGTTCATGGAGAACAGAACCAGAAAACAAGAGCAGGTTATGGACGATAAGAACATGGTGGTTTGCCAACTCGGTATGCAGGCAGGAGCTGATCGTTACTATCACGGTAAGTCGGCTTGGGATAATCCATATCTTGTTACAGGAAGATGAACAGGGTGTTTATGGGAAGGTGTTGCTTAGCAAATAAGTAGAAGAGTGAATTGGATGCAGCTGAAGGTAGCATTGCGATATCTCCCAGACGCGATCTCGAAGGGATGTTAGCGAAGTCTGGAGAAGACACGAACAAAGACGCGTTTCTAATCAACCCTCCATGTTGATTCATCCCGGGGTGAAAATACGCAAAGCTACAGTACAATAAGACTCGCTATACTTCATCTAGGCGCTGACCCCCTCCGTCTTTCGTTCTCTCCAAGGTGTGTGGCCCGTAAAGGGTCTGAGCTTACATGCTCCACTGGGTGGATGGCGATACTCGGTATCCTACTGGTGGGATCTTCTCGTTCCAGATCAGAATCGTGATACTCAGTCGGACTTTGAGACACAGCGCTCGTTGGACCAGAAAACGTAGTGGCCGCATTCGCAGCACTTGTGTCCACACTGAGTGGTGGTGGCAAGCTATGGCTTAGCCATTCTTCTTTTCCGCTGTACATGGATTTCCCGATCTTACTGAGCTCTAGGCGGATTTTACCTGGGCCCAGTCGATTGTTGGGCTCCTTGACCACAATCCGTTTGATGAGGTCGACGCACTGGCTTGTCCATGGATTATGTCTTGGTATGCGCGTGATTATTGGTGCGATGTCCGGTAGGCTAGCAAGGTGATTGTGGAACTCCCGCTTGACTTCCTTGGAAGATTTGTTATAGAACTTTGGATCCGCTGGGATACTCTGTAACAGTGATTCGCGGAACGATTCCACATGACGAAAGTCTAGGTTGACAGCGTAGGTGACAATCTCAGAGAGAACGCATCCGAAAGACCATACATCCGCACTCCTGCAATCTGTTTTTTGGGGGGTTTCTTGATCCAATTCTGGTGCCGTGTACATCCCTGGGTATCTCTCAGGTATAGCGTTGGACACAGATTTCGGTCTCTCGGTTCTGTGCGTTTTTTGTGGATAGGAAGAACTTGATGGAGCGTCATCTGCACTCAAGTGTCTGTTATGGCCACCGGAATGTCGCTTAGGCTTCATTTTTGAGAGCCCGAAGTCAGCGAGTTTCCATTGTCCCACTGGATACAGTTCATTCTCACTGGTTCTTTCAGGATAGACCACTAAGATGTTTTCTGGTTTGACGTCGTTGTGGGAGAGCGATGAGTGTAGCTTGGAGGAGATCAGCCGATTATGAAGATAATCCAGTGCATCGGCAAGATTGACGCTTTCTGAGATCAGATCGCCGGGCCACATATTGGCGGAACCTGTCCTTTCTGGTGTGGCTGTCGCGTGGCGTATCCTCCTCAGATTAGAGCGCATCGTGGTCAGGAAAACATTGAGGTCGTACGCGGCCAGTTCGTAAACAATGTGATAAATGTTAGTCGGGCCTGACTTGTCTACCATCGTAACAAGATTGACCATGATTCTTGTATGGGCACTTAGGCATTCGCGTAGCTCCTTCAAGTTCTTGAACTCTTCTGCGAGTGCAACATTTCCGGATAATGTCTTGACTGCAACAGCTCTGGGCTATTGAGGTTAGCAACGCGCCAGACGGTTCATCCTGGCTGTGGCAACTTACTTCGAGATTTGTGGTGCGATTTTGAAAGCGCAAAAAGCCCTTCGCGACTGTTCGCTTATTGACTTCTCCATAGCCTCCTTTCTCCACAAATTTGGGTTCATCAATCCACGGAAGGCGCTTTTCCCTATCCAGTATGAACTGGTCCTCTTGCTCTGGGATCGGAACCGGACAAAATGCGAACTGTTTTTCGTAGAAGAGCTGTCCCAGAGACATCCCCAGGAAGCCCTTCTCTTGCAATGTTTCCAAGGCGAAAGGAAGGTTACAGTCCCGACGATCTCCGTGATTGACAACCCTTTCGGCAAACTGGGGCCAATGTTCGAAACTAATTCGAATCAAGATTGACATTATCTGAATCATCTCGTCCATGAAATTGTTCCTGTCCCATTCCGACTTGTACCAAGATTGGTTGATGTAAAACTTTCGGTGGTAATTTTGCGTCCATATTTTCTCGACCACTTCAGGAAGTATTATCTCTTCGCCTTTCTTGCCGACCATTCCTTTCCCTAATGCCGTGAAGATTTCGTCTTTAATCGTGTGGATGTCGACAGGTTCCGGATTCGCGTGTGATTTTCCATTTCTTGTGGCATCGGGAGCGAATTGCTCTTCCGATTGAGCGCGGGTGGAATCTGAGTCGGTCGGTGTGGGATTGGACTGGTCTTCCTGTGTTATTGGGATGATACCAGTTCTGACCGCTGTGGATATGTTATGATTGCTGTACAAGCGTGAGAAGCATTGACCCATAATGGAAGTTGACAACGTAGTACAGGCCACAGCCGGGTAACGTCTTACGAACTTAGTGCATAGACGCAATAAAGTCAGGGGATGAGCGCTCTTTTCATGGGTTCCGGGCTGTCAGCCTCAACGAACGTTCGGTCGCCATTTCGTCGTTTGCTTTGCAGTGCCGCAATGCGAACGCCTTGGACCCAATCGCAGGTGACTGCACAGGCGTCAGATACCTCAGCTGTCGCCCTCCACTATAAGCTCCGCCTCCACGATAAACGATGCATAGGGTGTGGTGTGGGGCCGCTACATATGATTGGTTACGACTCGGTCTATGAGGCTCCGTACGATGTCCCGGGAACATTGTAAGAAGAAAAGCCGCCGGATGTGGAAGGCGCGTTACGGGCTGATTGAGCTGAAAACGCCGAGAAAAAGCAATCATGCAGCCTGATTCAGATCAGCCAATAGCGACTGACAGTCCTCCTGCTGCTTGCTGCAGCGACGTGCTGTCATGCCATGCACACTCGAAGCACAAGTGACAGAACTATTAGCCTATTGAGGCTCTGTTCGTCGTACTTTGGTATATATGCGCTCAGTCGGCTGTCTAAGGCTGAATTTCAAGGCTGATTTCCTGAATAGTCAGCAGCCCGAATCAGCCTTGTCCAACCATTCACCAAGAACATTACCTGCTGACCTCAGGACGCCAAGCGGAAAGTTGATATGACCCGTCAACCGATACATAATGTTGTTGAAGAGAGAACATCGGGATATATAACAAAGGAGAAGTTGGAAACGTTCTTGAAGAAGAAGTACCCTGATGTCTCGTCTGTGGATGAGTTCGCTATCGAAGTATGTCTCTCCTCCATAATCACATATACATACATGACTGAGTAACCAAGGAAAAGCGCAATAAGTGGGAGTTTTACGCGCCAGAGGAGATACCCGAGGTACGTACATGCGCTTCATGCATCATGACAACCAACACAGATACTGACAGCTTGGAACACAGGCAGACCTCCGGTGAGTCTTCTTCAGAAAATGTGAACTGCGAGGCCGTGACTCATTTTTGTAGCGCTTTGAAGAAGAAATAGGGGCGACGAGTGGGATGACAAGTAGCAGAGTTAGGCTGAAGATTGGCTAGCTGATGGTCTTGGCACTACGTCATGTACAGTCACGTGGTGCACTGGATGGCCCGCAATCGTACCTTTGTAAACTTCACCGGTGCGCTACCTATATTTGTCGCAAAACGTAGCCATGAGAGCCTTTGCCCTAGATATACTTGTGGGTGCACGTATGCCTTCGGCTACATCCGTGAAACGCGTCGTAAGGTCAGACTCATGACAGTTGTCATATGACATGGCCTCGAGGAAGTTCACAATGCTGATTGGAGTACACAGAAAGGAAGGCAGACTCACAGAAACGTGGCGAGTCAGCCGTGTGTTTTGAAAAGCAGTGCTCGAGGCAACTGGTTACTTCTGCGCGCAGAGTAGGTCACCGGAAGTGTTCCCATTGGCCCCGGCGACCTGCGAAGGCGTACACTGCCTCAGCCTTGTGAGATGTTCAGCGCATGTCATTAGCCTGCGTGCGCCCCTCAACGAAATTGATAACAGCTCAATTGCTTTCGCTCTCCTTTATCACGGATTTGCGCATGGATTACGCTAGCAGAAATGCGTTTTTTGACGACTGGGAAGTGCCATTGCAGCGGATATGTGCCAACCAGGAACGGTTATTCGACGGCATGGGGCCATTTCACGTGCGCTTAATCCGTTTGGGTAAGCCAATATCTCTCCAAACACCTATACTAGGAGAATTGCACTCATCGAATGTAGATGCACGAGGGAAAGCAATCTTGCGTCCAAAAGACCTTTTAGAGCTTGGAGATCATCTCATGAAAACCAGCGACGACAACTTTCGCATTCTGTACGTGTCCGGAATCTCGGATCGACTAACGACGCTAATGCGAAGCACAGTTCTTTCTGCCAGGAATACTCGTTGGCACCCTTGATGTGTCCCAAAGAAGCGATGCTGACAGTATTGAAAGGCTGGCAGATCTCCAGCATGTTTGTAGACGTTCTTCTGAAGTTCGGCGATCAGCCTCAAATCTTTCAGGAGTCCTCAGGCTTTCGGCAGTCGATCCAATCAGTGGATCAGTCTTTCGGTACGTTCCTTTGATACTTTGCGTAATGACCATTGGCTGGTACAAAGTATGCTGACGGATTCCTTCCAGAGCTATGTTATCAGTTCATGTATGTTGAACGAAACGGGAAGCGACCGCCACGGGACATCTGGTCGTTCAGGCAAACAGGTGTTACGCACAAGTTCGCATCTAAAGGGTGTAGTAGTCAGGTTGTTGTAATCCATCCCAACGACGAGGCTGTGGCGCAGTCAAAACTGGAAGCAATGATCGATTATTCGGATACAGCGCAGTTGGCACAGCATCCATTAACCGTTCATATCGTCATCCTATTGTCATACCTGCCAAATTGGCAAGACCATCTAGAAAGCCTTGCGAGTGACCTGGAGCAGATAGTAAGCAGATTCCATACCCGATACATGCAATGCTCACAGACGACAGCGACGACGCATCGATGTGGTTGACATTTGCGAGTCGGATGCCAATCCTGCTATCAATCCTGAGCGCCTCCAAATGCTTCGGCACATCGAGGACAAGATCGTGTGTAAAGCATGCAAATGTCTCCGCAGCAATCTTGTTCTTGTACAGACCTTGACGGGTATCAACACAGCACTCGCGACCAATATCCCATCACTGAGAGAATCATCATATGGCGTACATCGAGAATTACAAATCATGGAACATCGCTTGGAGAGTCATCTCAACGTAGCAGATACATTGGCACAACGTGTACAAGCCACACTGGGATTGGTAGGAGAAGAGGAGTCGCAAATCATACGACATCACTAACGCATTCACAGCTTACCAATCTTCTCGATATTGAGAATCAGGCAAACTCGAGAGAGATAAGCACGCGCATACTGCGACTAACACAGGAAGGTGTTGACGATAACGCTACCGTTAAGGTCATCACTGTCTTCACTCTGATATATCTACCTGCTTCGTTTATGGCTGTGAGTTGGCTACATAGTCGGGTACTTGCTTGAACGTCCTGACTCATAGATCTAGTCGTTCCTCGGTATGAACCTTTTCGACTTCAAAAGCGAAGACGGCTCCTTACAGGCGAGCCCTCAGTTCTGGATCTTCGTGGTAACGACAGTGCCGTTGACGATGCTCACCGTCGGCGCATGGTATCTGTACAAGACCAGACACAACAGAATAAGGAAAGCTAAATCGACCGCCGAGGCCGTGTGAGACGTTGTTCCTTCCGGAGCTGGAAAAATTTGATCAACATTGTTACTGGAAAGTGCACACCACGTCTTCAGTAAGTGACCGCATTGCGAATGGAGGTCAAGGTGATGAAATCAAAGGCTATGAGCTTCATTTGGACAACGTCGATAGATCAAAGGGCGAACAAACGGAGTTGAGATAAGTTCCGTGCGCCGGGACTATGACGCATCTGGAAATGATCCACATATGCCCTAAAGAAGTTTGGCTCGCGGTTCGCGTCATAACCTGTACCCTCCACGCGTGGACGCGTCAAGCTCTCGTAGACATTCAGCCATCACGATACAATGCCTGTACCTTCTAAAGTTATGTCCCATTCTGTTAATTACCAGAGTGCTTCCACACGCTCCCAGGAGCTATCCATGCCCGATGTTGTCGACGTTCTCTCCCCCGAACGCGACCAGCATCGTCGCATACGCTTCGCTCGACGCGAAGATCTCCTACCGGTTCGCAATCGCACAAACACTGGCCCTCGCACCAACGGCGATGTCGATACTATAAGGATCGCGGAAGACAGGGTCGCAGTATCGCTACGACCATGGTGATGCGCTTAGGTGGGGGAAACAACTCGCGATACATTCGAGCCTTGGAAATACTACTCTTCAGTATTGAAGATGCATGTCACTACTTGTGTGCTTAGAGTCACGGGCGACGCATGACGGCGCTTCTGTCATAAGAGGTCAGCGCAGTATTTCGAGATCCGAAGCAGCAAGGACCCATGGCGCTCTATCTCGCAGCATCAGGCCTTCGCGGGTTAACTCATGCGAGGCTCCACCGAAGTCTGGAGCGCCTGTGATTTTGGTGATCGCAATCAGTAGTGTGAGTATGGGGAAGATCTTGGAAAACAATCTAGCATCATGCACTCAACAGCCTGCGGCAACGTGCCCTCCGCGAAGACGCAACCAGAAGTAAGTGTTCGATGGTCATTCACTGAATACTTGTATCAGCTTTTTGAGTTGGCGTACCAAGACTGCGGCAGTCTGATATCAAACCGGAGCAGCAACGTTGCCACTAGTCCATTCGATCAATTCACATTACATGCCCTTCGTCGGCCAATCGATGTCCCTTCCAAACAGTGTTAACTTCACTCAACGTGCTTTCGCGTTGATACAACGCAGCCGAAGAACAACGGAATTGTAAGAGTGAACGACAAAGAACTCTCTCTGATCGATTGCTCTACTCCCAAGTTCACTCAACTTTTCGGCTAGCCATCGGTTGAAGTGAGCCTTTGTATGCCACATTGACAATATTACTTACACTACTTGTATTCTACCCCCTTTCCTCTCCTTCCACCAGTACTCTTCACACTGACACATAGCCCCCAACACAGCACAACATGTCGTCTTGGAGATTCCGCACCCCCCAGGATTCGTTCTTTAACCGAGTCTACGCTAGACCCGCGACGTACGCGTCATCCCGCCCTCTTGAAGACACCCACACTCCTCAATGTCGAGCTCGTCGCGACCAGTTGTAAGAGCCTCAATCCCTAACCTCACGTATGCAAAACTAATATACTATGTAGAAGTGAGCTCAACGCAGCCAACTCGCCTCTCCTCCGCCTACCCGCCGAGCTGCGCAACACAATCTATACCTACGTATTTAGCAGCACAGCCTGCGGCTTTGTAGATCATAACAACGACAGGGACTTCGATCCCGGTCAGGTAATTTCGTTCCAAAAGGCCAATTTAGGCTTAGTAGCCACATCTCGTCAGCTCTACGCTGAAACCGCGTTGCTTCCATATAAACTTGGGTTATTTCAATTTTTTCTCCACAGTCCGAGAGCCCCGTGGGAAGTTTATGTAAGGGCTTTCATCGGCAGCAGATCGGAGGAACAGCTTAGAGCTATGGGCAAGGAGTTTGAAGTCTGTGGATATGATCCTGAGATCAGAAATGATAGGCCATATTGGGGTACTGGGGTGCAATGGGCTGACGCATTCGCTAAGAATGATGTGGAGGCATTGTGTCCGGAATGGTATAGACGAAGAATAGGGGAGATTTGAGACCGTTAGTGGAGCGTCTATGCATACATGCGGTGGTATTCATCGAGTTACAAATCTATGGGTATTCTGGCTATTGCAGTTGGTCACTCCATTAGTATCTTTCCTTTCAGTCAGAGACATGTGAGTATACAATGATGAGAATGCCCATAGTACTTGATTCTTCGGCGGACGCAGTTCATCTCTTCCAAGTCTTGCTGTGTGAAAAATTACATGGCGACCGGAGAACTCTAACGAAAGGTTAACCCCGATATAGATCTCCGGATGAGCGACCCAAGGCGGGCCACCCTGCACTCCGCCGGCAGCTGGTCAAACAACGCTAGCCGCATTCAACAAATGGATCGCCCAGGTGCTCTCACCTTCTACGACGCAGCCTTGTCACAATACCACCTCGCTTTCGGCACCCCAATTCCAATCAATAATGGCGCTACCCAAGCCCACAGTGTCGCACTTGGCCACTGCAGCATCCGCAAAAGAAACTCGCGACGAGAGCGACGTGATTCGGGATCCAAGTTCACTCGATCGGCTGTAAGTCCAATAACAAGCTATGCGACTGGTCCGACTGACAATTGTTACAGCACTGAGCTCAACTCCATCGACTCACCTCTTTTACGCCTACCAGCCGAGATTAGAACAATGATCTTCACTTACGTCTTCAGCGGCGGGGAGTACCTTTTCCGCGGAGATATGGGTCTTGAAGATGCGATACTTGTCTCTTGTGGACAATCATTTACGGAGGTGAACATGAGTCTTCTCTTGGTATCACGTCAAGCCCACGCCGAGACCGCCTTGCTCCCGTATAAGCTCAGCACGCTCTGTTTCCCTTTCCAATTAAGCTACTCAGGTGGCCCATGGCAGCGCAGCATCAAACTCTTCCTTGAGGAGAGATCGGTCGAACAAGTCAAAGCGATCGCCCGGATAGAGACTTCTTTAACGAATTGGGGAGACGCTCAGTACAGGACGGTGAGGACTGGAGTGTACTGGGCTGAGCAAGCGGGTGTCAGCTTTGCCAGAAAGCTACTGGAAGGATATGATGGGTCAGTGCAGGCGACATGAATCGGATCTCGTCATGGGTTGCTTGTACCAAAACGAGAGAGCGACCGTATGTCTGCATTGGGGAAGCTTCGAAGTGAAGGAATGAGGTAGCGAAAAACGGTGAAACCTGGCAATTGCAGACAACACGCATGGCCTTCCATTGTCGTCGCTCTCTGCAGCCACTAGCTTAGTATAGAATGCCGCACATATACCAGTCTGGCAGTCTGCTCCCAACCTAGTTCTACTCCCCTGCCAATTCAACCGCCCCCCTCGCTTATATTACACCACACGCAGCACAACACACCAAGCTGTCACGAAAGTGCTCAACAATGCCTTCTCATCTAAACGGCCAACCCCCAGCAAAGAAGCGGCGCTTTGAGGGTGCTGAAGAGAGGGCAGCGATTCGACGTCTCCGCGAAAAAGCTCCTCGGGACAAGATGTAAGTCACCAAGCTTTTGCCATTTCGAAAGCTAATGTATCGTTTGTAGCACCGAAGCCAACGCGACCAATTCGCCTCTTCTCCGCTTACCAGGCGAAATACGCAACATGATATACACCTACGTATTCGGCGACAACAAGTGGACGTTCACTGGCTGGACGACACCAAGGAACTCAGCCAAAGAGAACGACCTAGCGTTACTGCTCACCTCTCGTCAGCTTCATACAGAAACTGCATTGCTTCCATATATGCTTGGAAGGTTTCATTTCAGAATGATGTACATGGGAGTAGAGGCGGGAGAAGTTCGAGTGGGTGATTTTCTGGAAGAGAGATCCGAGGAGCAGCTTGCAGCAATTGGTAGTTTGGCGCTCCAGAGTTATGATAATGACCGCGATCAACCCGTATATGATCGTGGAACCGGAGAGTACTGGGCAGAGAAGCTAGCATGGGTCCAAGATATTTGGCTATCCGCCTTGCCTTTTGCTAAATGTCCTCTCTTTCTTTTCTGAACATATGGCGGAGAGATACTCGTCGAGGTATTCTCTGAGCAGCGACATCGGCATGCCTAATGCATTAGCGGTCAATACTACACCCACTTCACATACTCATTCTCCCAATGACTTGACCATGCGTGCGCACATTGTGCACTCTTCAAACGCCAGATGGGCGGCGGTGAGGTGAATATTCCGCTTCACACCTCCGCAGTGACGCTCCCGATTGGCCAGAGCGGCGCATTCCTCTCGCACCTGCGCGCGCACTCAGGGCCCTCACCGTGAGTGGCCATGCATCGGGTGACGCGTGTGAAGGGCGCGCATCGACGCGTTTTGTTGTTGTTTTCTTCTCGTTCGCGTTCCGAGTTCTTGACTTCCTCTCACCACCACGACCACTCACTTTCGTGTCGGCGGCCAACTCTTTCCACGCGGGTGTTCTTCGACTGTACAGCTTTGCCAGATTAATTGTACCCCTTACGACACTTGTACACCTCACCCTGGAGCCTACATCGACGTTGTACGAGGTGCACATCCGCTCGAACCCACCACTGCCATGGCGCCAGCTACCGTCTCGACGCCGCAGAAGCGCAAAGCTTCACTCTCGCACGCCTCGGCCTCGGCTAAGCGTACCCGCTCCGTCTCGATATCCGTCAAGGTCACCCACACGGCCACCGATGATGGCCCCGGCAGCCCAGATCTTCCTGTCGTACTCAAAAACCCACAAGCGTGTCTTGGTGGTATACCGGAAGAGCTTCTACTGAAGATCATGGAGCATGTGAAGGAAGTCGGCCGTGACGGCGCACTCTCGAAGCTGTGTCGTACAGATAAGCTCTGCAAGCGAATCGCGGAGGTGGTGATGTACAAGACCTTACGCGCCGTGAGCTCTACCAGGCACTACAAAAAGGCGGCGGCGATTGCCAGCAACCATCTCCTCTCCAGGCACATCCGCGAAATCAGTATCTTCTTCGGCGGGAAGCCCGTCAACAAGGATGCATGCAACAAGATCTTGGCCAACGCTCACGACATCCAAGCGTTCAACGTGACGGAGACATATGACCGGCCCGAGGATACACCGAAATGGTTGCAGATGTTGAACAGCGCTGTTGCGCGACCCGTCGGTGGTCATGTCAATCGATTTGCTAAGCTCAAGGAGCTCAATATTGCTTCCCGCCACCTCTCAGTGGAGGAGCTTTCCTGTGTGTTCCGTCTTCCCTCCCTCGAAACGCTTATCCTCTGGGAGATATGTCAAACAACACCTGTTGAGAACTGGTCGGTCCCCGAGTCGAGTAGCTCAATCCGGAAACTTCACCTGGTTCATGCAATGATGGACATTTCTGTTGTCGCACAAATGCTCCTCACGCTCAAGGCCCTCCACAGCTTTCGATACCACCGCAGTACCGGGAGGTGGGAGCCGTTCGCCGCAGAAGGCAATCCTTTGTCAATCTGGCCTGAGCACTCCTGGAAACTCCTGGGTGATGCGCTGAGGGGACATCGACACTCGTTAGAAGCGGTCTATGCGACGGACGATAGTGACAAAGACATCCTAGACCTGGTGTATCCTAACAGTCGGGACGTTGATACCCTGGGATCTCTCCGAGACTTTCCGAGGCTGAAGTGTTGCCATGTGCCGGTAGAGGCATTCCTCGATCCTAGGATCGGTGGAAATGATCGCTCATTGTATCTACCACCGCAAGTGGGAGAGGGTGGTACCGAGGCCAAGCCCGGTCGTCGAGGCTGTAGATGCGATTTTCGAGGGTCGGTCTGGTGTGCATAGTCGTTACGTATCTGTCGCGTCGAGTACTATGACGGGGAGGTCATCAAGTTGTTTGTAACTGTCGGTGTGTACCATAGTCTCCTTATCGACTTGGCTGCGTTTTGGGTCTGGTGTGATGAAGGTGCGTCTTCTACAAGTAATTAGTTCAGTAATAATGTATAATGGTTGCAAATCACCGCGTTACCAGTATCGTTGTCGGGTTTGCCCACACATATTTTAGGCGTGTCTTTGTCTGATTGCGACAGCAGCAAGGTAACCAGTCGCCGACGCGTCGCTGTACGTGAGTGCAACTCTGATCGATATCTTTGTGATAATGAGCTTCACCGCATGTGCACGGTGGCAAACATCAGCTAGAGATGCCTCGATCGTGAAGGTTGAGGCAAGCGCGCTCGCGTCGCGTCGCAACATGATGACGTAATATTGATTTCGATCTTAGCGTGGCGCGTTCCCCTCACACATCAGATCCACGACCTCAGACCTCGACATCTCAACCTCCGTGCATCATTGGCTGACACTGGTACTCAAACTCTACGCATTTCTGAGTAGACTATACTTTTTAATGACAGATATCGTGGCCTCTGTACGGCGCGCATCCCGAAGCCCAGCGTCTGCTTGTCCCTGCCTACCACAACGTTCGTGCGCTTGTTGGCTATCGCCCCTGTCGGAGTTGCGCGAATAATTGTTTCTTTCTTCCGCGCGTTTGCAGCGATTACCAAGGCCTTCGCTGGCCTTGGTCGCGCTCTACCGTATATCGTTGAAACATTCCTTAGGCGCGGAGGCCTTCCGCTCCTGGTAGGTACAATTCAAGATTCGACGCCGCCGAGCACCACTACGCGCAGACTAAGTTCGCACATTCCCTTTTCTATGATCCCCTTCCTCTTATCTCCTCTAGAGTCTGGCTGCGAACGCCTCTCGTCCAGGTGTTGTATATTGGTCCGCATGCCCAGACGCCTTGGGAGTCTTGGACTCCGCTAGCGGGCCGTGGCAATGATGTTCGCTCCTTTCCCGAGGCCCTCCCGAGAGTACCAAGCCGGATATCTGTGGCGCACCATATGTATACGAATTTCGCTGCTTGGCAACAGTACTCCACTCAAGAACTGTATGGACACCTTCCCTATCAAGTTAGCGGAATGGTAGTCCTGACCTTCCGCATGGAGTATGGATGCCAACGGATGCCCAGAGTATATTGCTGTACCAAGACGGTAACATGGTACTGAATGGTCGTGTGGCAAGGCAACGGTCGAGGGCGAGATCTTGCACCATGAGGGTACCACACTCATATATATACCTGTTGAGCTGCATAGGAAATGTGCTCATTCCAGCTCAATCCTTCTCTTAGCTCCTCAAGATGAAGTTCTCACTCGCTGTGTTGGCACTACCAGTTGCGGTCCAGGCTGCGCACTACTCCAAGTCGGAGTATGCCTCTGGCGCAATTCATCAGAAGTTGATGAAGTTGAAGAGTGTACGTTCATACTTTGCTTCTTTCGCCTGACGATCAAGTACTAACAACGTCTAGGATCAATGGGAAGTTGACGCAGCCCAAGGCAAGCAAGACTCTCAGCAGTGGAAGTCTTTCAAGAGCTTGAAGAAGGGGCCTCATGGACCTGACAAGGCCAAGCGTGTCCAATGCAAGGATGGTCTCGCCATCGTCGAGCAGGGCAATGCGAACCAGACGTTCAGGTGTAACAACATGGACCTCTACGACTTTGTCAACCACGCCGATATGGCAGGCCCTGAAGGTCAGGGTAGCTCTTCATGGGGATGGACCGCTCGCAATGGCCGCGAGTTCGGTATCGTAGGCCAATTCTCCGGTGCTGCGTTCGTTGAGATCCTCAAGGATGGTCAGATCCAGTACATGGGTCGCCTTCCCGCACAAAGTGTGGGTTCGCGATGGCGCGAGATTCGCGTACTGAACGACTATGTCATCATCGGCTCCGAGGCCGTTGGTCACAACGTTCAGATCTTCGACATGAAGAAGCTTTTGACTGTCGACCCAAAGACCCCGAAGACGTTCGACCCCAAGGCCGACCTCGTTGGTCTGTTCGACGAACTGCCCATCGGCCGCACCCACAACGTTGTTGTTGACTGGGACAACGAGTACATCCTCGCTGTCGGTGCCCAGCCCCGAAACCAGACCTGCAAGGCTGGTCTCCAGTACATCGACCTCAAGAACCCTAGCAAGCCAACCTCTCCCGGCTGTGCTAGCCAGGATGGATACGTTCACGATGCCCAGTGTGTGACCTACAACGGTCCCGACCGCAAGTTCCGCGGCCGCAACATCTGCATCGGCTACAACGAAGACACCATGACCGTCTACGACTCTACCATGAAGAACGGCAACCCTGCCTCTGAGGTCATCTCCACCCTCTCTTACCCCGGTGCCACCTACTGCCATCAAGGATGGTGGACCGAGCGCAACTGGCACCAGTACGTCCTCCTGAACGACGAGCTCGATGAGCAGGAAGCTGTCGGTCCCGCTGCGTCCGGCCGCCCCGTCACCCACATCATCGACCTCACCGACCTCCGCAACCCCAAGGCCACTGGTACTTTCTACGCCACCGACAGCAAGGGTATCGACCACAACCTCTACATCGTCGACGGTCTCGCCTACCAGAGCAACTACGGCGCCGGTATCTGGGTACACGATGTCCGCAGCATTAGCAAGGACCCCACCGGAAAGGGCGTCAAGACCGAGGGCTTCTTCGACATCTACCCCGAGGATGACTCTGTTGGTGGAATCGTTCAGTTCGTTGGTACTTGGTCTCACTTCTTGTTCCCCTCTGGATACATTCTGGTCAACACCATCGAGCGTGGTGCATTCACCGTCAAGCTCGCCAAGGGTCGCGGAGCTAAGCGCGGTCCTGGGTTCGGTGGAAAGTCCAAGGGCCAGGGCAGATAATCGCTTTGTAAATAGTGTAACATACAAAATCACTTCTTTATTACTTCAAGTTTAACCATTTCTGGCATTCACGTTTTGCATGCAAGTGTCGTGGCTGCTGAACGTCGCTGCCGCGCCTGATACTGACCTGCTTCGACTATTCCTAATCAGGAAAGGTACGCAAAACACTCAACCCTGGACGTCTGGAAGTCTTCCAAGGTTCCTTCGCTCCTTGAAATGCTTCTTCTTATCACCTGATCTACTCGTCTTCTTTCAGCTCTCAGTATCGCCGTCGCACACGATGTATTCATCATGCAAGCGCCACGGCGCACTTACCCCAGTCCCCATGCTATCCTGTGTCAGCCCTGGCTCGCCTCACTGCACACGCGCATCGCACCGAATGCCTCATCTACATAGAGTACCGGTTTCTGCATGCATTCGAAGCCGTGGGATGTTACACAAGATACTGTCCCGTCAGCTGTGTGTAAGACGGGACGTGCCATGTTGCCCTACCATCATGCTGGAACGCTTGTGCGCTTGAGCGTGGGATGAAGGCAAAGTAGCGGTGACTACGCGAGACTGCTGATTATCAAGGCTTGCTCACCGGACGACGTTGTCAGACGTGCAAGTTTCAGCAAGCTTCCTATCACGGTCCATGGGTAGCGATAGTGCTGTCAGCTGCTCAACCCAGTGGCAGACGGAGACGGAGCACGGCGATACCGTTGTCTGCGCATGTATTCGCTACTTGCCGGCAGAAGCAACACGAACGCCACGCGGATAGGGCACGATTCAAAGACACCGATTGGCTTACACGGCTTACTGCAGGCCTTCGGTCGACAACCTCGCCGCCATAAGTGGCTGCCTTTGCCATTGAGTATGTTGCTGGCGATGTAGGGCAGAGCCATCCACAGAGCGGGCTAGTGTGTGAGCCTTCACGCGACTGGCCGTTTACGCACTTCAGCATTGTCGAGATACAATCCCGTGACGCTCCATGGTCTCTGTCTAGTGAGGCGTCGTTCCACGGCGGAAGTCGGCACTGGTACTTCCCAAAAGTCGCAGGTATAGGGCGAACCACAACGGCGGGATGCATTTCTACTGAGCAAGAAAATGCATGGGTCTGCGACACTCCCCGGCTCTTCGGGTGTGGCTAAGAAGACGTACCGGAAATTTGTGCGCCCTCTTTCGTGGGGGGTCATACCAGCCGCTCCATGTGCTACACCGGTCAGTGGCTTGAGGGCCATGCAAACACGCTGATCCAATCATGGTAAACATCAAGATCAAGCGCTCGTAACGATCTACTGCGTTGCTATCGGATGAGCAGAGAAGTTTTGGAGGAGTGCGGAAGCCTGGAGAATAGCACGGACGAGCACTGCACTGTCATGCGAATACCACAAAGAGCAATTTGTGAAGGTTTTGGGTTCAACATTGCTAGAATACTGACAGGTCCAAACAGGCTGGGAATACAATTTGAATCAGATATCCACCCACTGACTGCTATGCGAAGCTCAAGGTACGCTTACAGAAATTGAAAACTAGCCACTAGAAGGCTCGAAGCGCTACACAGCCACTGCTGGCAACGACGCTGGCAGGGGTAACAAATTGCTTTTCGCAGCCTCGTAACGACAGATAACGCCCACTATACTGACTTTGAAGAAAGAGACGGCCAAATTGGAAGAACGCCGCTAGAAATGTGCAAAAATACGCTCAACGCCAAGAGCAATGCGAAAGGATGCTCGGAAGCAAAGGTCATGGCCTCTTTCGACGGGAAAAGGAAGACGTCGTGTTTGCGTGCGCAGCTCAAAGAGAGTTCTCAGTCTTGACGAGCTCGTCAAATGCATCTCGCCACCTGCGGACTTCGTCCTTGCCAGGCCTGGGGAGTGGCTTGCGAGCATATCCTCCGTAGCCGAAGTG